CGAGCAGACGGCAAAGAACGAGTCTGTCTTGGCCAAAAAGTTCCAACCACCACGTACTCATGCATGAGAGGAAATAACTCTCCATGCCAGCAGGGGGCGGTAGTCCGTTGTTATGATACGAGAAGACCAATTTTCACCCCGCTGTCGCTCACCTCTCGTATTATAGGTCGTCTACTAATGGAGAATAATGTCTGATAACAAGTTGAAAATGGCGCTGGCGTTGTCAGTTCTTGGTCTTTTAGTGGAAAAAGAAAAGAAGAGACGGAGGAGACAAATAAGGAGAAACCACACTAATGGGTGAAAGCATGGAGACTACAGAGACATGCTCAAGAGGCTTCACTGAACCTGAGTGAAACCTCCCAACAGCCAATCAGAGACACTCCTCTCACCGACCGCCGATTCAACATGTCGAATCGGCCGGAAAAAAGGCCGACGGGTAGCGACAGAGCTACTAGGTCGACGACCGCTCACCGTGTGAGGGCCTTTAGACATACTGTGAGGTTTGTGCTACCAAGGGAAGCTAACGCAACGTCAGCGTCAGATGCTTTTCCTTGGAAGTAGAAAAAATGACTTTATTTTTTGGCCGCTTACCCACAAATGTTCCCACCGGGCAATCTTACAAACAAGCCAACACATTTCAGGAGAAAAACACAAAAAACAGACATTTTTACAAAGAATCTACAAACAGTAAAGAGTCAGTGTGCGTTCAGCTGCAGATCATCTCATCACCGAGCGCTCACACGTTTTCATGCGTCCTGTGTTAGACTCCGCTCATTTATCCTGGGAATACGCGATTGCTGTATTTTGTGTCACTTCTAAATGTTTCAGTGTGAAGCAGTACATTTTGTTCCTGTGATTTCCATCTTCATTAAAAAGGAAATCATCTTCAGAAAAGTTAAAGGGGTAATAATGGATTTGAAGTGTCTAAAAATGTGAATTCTGGTCGGCGTTTTTTGTTTTGGATTTTGAAAATTAAAAAAAAAAAACAGAGAATCGAAAAAGAGAATTGTGTTTTATCTGTCATCACAAGACGCACACTGATTTTCACAAGTCTTCACAAGTGAACCTCTACCTGCTCATTTCATTGGAAGGTGCTCTGGTACACATTTGTCCGCTGAACACTAGGAATGTAAATAGCATGTTTACACGCTCTCAGAACAACAACATGTCCTCTCTGTCATTGTTTTTAAAAGAGCTTCAACACATCTCTCTCTAAAGTCACAACATGCAACCTTTCCGACTTCCTCTCTAAGTTTCTTTACGCAACACTTCCTCATCTGGAGTTATCACCATGCCAAACGTTAAACAGCGAGAACACCGAGGCCTTGAACTTTGGCTTCCTGCTTGTTTCTGATGTAGAAATGTCGACTTCCAACCGGTCTCGTTCAGTCGCTCTGGATCTGCAGAGTCTTCTTACCGTGCATTTTTAGAGCCTATCCTACAATAAGGAGCAGACTACTTAGAATAGAATAGAATAAAACAGGACAGGACAGGTACATTGGAATTTTTGTGCGTTTCTCCCTGAGTCAGCTTCTACAAAAAAGTTACAATTATATATCGAATAGAAAAACATTATAAGAAAAAAAGAAAAGTATTAATTAAAGATATAATACAAAAAGAATAACAAATGGAACACTGTACAATGAAATGAAAATATAAATCTGTTTTCTTGTCTCCACTTTCTACATCTCTTATTGCACCTCAGGTTATTGCACACATATTTCTCACATTATATAATGACACTGTTTTTTGTTTTTAAGGTTAATATGGCACACTTGTATTGCACTTAACCCCTGTGAGCTCTGTCACTCAGAGTGGCTGTTTCAAGTGTCTGAAATCTGAGGTTTAATGAGGCCTGACGACCCCGCCCCGGTCCTCTGAACAGTCAGACTGTGATTCACAGATAAGGTTGTCTGGGTGGTTAATGTGTGAGCTGCAAACACACGGACTCGTCTTACTTCCTGTGTGTCTTCCTCACTGGTGTTAGAGCGACCCCACACACACACACACTCACTCAACATGATATCACACATAAACTCCTGAAAATCTCAGGACGTCCCGCTCCCTGAGATCTGCCTGAGTTACTTATTGACATAAGTCCATCACAGTGTGAAGTACTCCATGTCTGACGTGGGAGGGGGTTCACATTTAAATGGACTTGATGTCCCGGTTTGAATCACCGTTTTTTAGACTGTAAACATCATCTCCTGATTACAGAGACCTGATGTTGCTACCTGGAGAACTCAGTATCCGGGTCCAGGCGTCATACATGCTACAGTTTGCTGTTTAGTTCCTGACAGCTGCAGACGACCTTCATAGACAAGTGACGAGTCAGCAAAACAAACATGGCGGCGTCAACGAGAGCGTCTTACTTCTTTCTTTTTTTTTTTTATTTCCCTTGGGATCAATAAAGTATCTACCTACCTATCTATCTACCTACCTATCTACCTACCTATCTATCTACCTGGAGAGGCGGAGACACTGAGTTCTTTCTCGTAGCTGCACATGAGGTGGAGATATCTGCATCATGTTTGTCAGATTTCTAAATCACAGCGGTTTGGGTTCATCACAGACGCCTGCACAGATCAGATGCAGCAATCAGAAAGCAGGATGTGAGTATTTATCACGTCCACAGGGAGATGAAGAACCAGGTTTCTCTGTGAGCATAACACCAGATCCTGCAGATGATCAGAACCAGGATCACACTCAGAACCGGGATACTCAGGTCAATGTAGACTCAGTTGGTATCAGAAGTATTTTAAAAACTGTCAAACATTGAATAACTGCTGTGTTCTTTGAGCTCTTTGTCTCTCCAGCTGATAGCATGAAGGCGTTGTTCACTAAGAGGGGTCCTGATGTCCTCGGTTTGTCGGGGTCCTGATGTCCTCGGTGTGTCGGGGTCGTTGGGTTCAGAGAGCTGCACTCTAAAGATCTGCCTCGATGACAACCGGGAACACGAGCCACAAAGCAAAGCTTTCAGAGTAGAAGTGGCCCCCTCACCTGAAGTAACACGCTCTGTATGGTGACCCAGAGAACCTCTGCAGGGTGGAGGCTACACTCTGCTCCGAATGTCCCAGAACAATAAACTAAGAGGAGACTCTGAATAGAGTCAAAGTATTCTCTCTGCAACCTGACAGCCTTTTGACATGACTCCCCCAGAAGCCCCGCCCCCTGCAGGTCACAGTGTGTACGTTTACTGTTTGTAGCTACACTGCAAGCTAACACACGCTAGCACAAGCTAACGGCCGGTGTTTGTCCCCTTCCTGTCCAACAGGAAGTAGATCTACTCCACGTCCACGGGTAAAAGACAACACAAGGTTCACCCTCGTTTTAGAACGATCTTTATCCACTTGGTGTTTCTCCTCACTCTCATTATATTTTCTCTTCTTTGCTGCTACGTCCTCGTCCGTCATATTCACCGCTTTGAATCTCGTCCAATCACTGAACTGTATCCACTCCTAAACTCACCTGCTGCGCTGTCATTGGCTGGAGGAAACACACCAGCTCCGCCCACAAACGTCCCGAGTCAACCAGAACAAATCAGAACAGTAAAATCCAGTGAGAGGACAGAGTCTCTGCAGACACAGTCACCACCACACATGTACGGAGGCCCAGAAGGGACAATGGAGCAGCTTCACTTTAGGAGAAGACTGTGTTTTATTTTGAAGGAGCAGTCTGTATTTTATTTTGAAGGCACCACACACACACACACACACACACACACACACACACACACACACACACACACACACACACACACACACACACACACACACACACACACACACACACACACACACACACACACACACACACACACACACACACACACACACACACACACACACACACACACACACACACACACACACACACACACACACACACACACACACACACACACACACACACACACACACACACACACACGAGGTGCAGGCAGAGTGGAAACACCTGTGTGGGCGAACGAGTGAAGGAGAGAGAGAAAGTGTGTGTGATGCTGAGACTTACATATAATGGAGCCTGCTGAGGGTTGACTTTCATGTCCCTGGACTCTGAAAGAGAAGAAAACATTCAAGGTTACACTTTGTTCCATGGAGTCAAACGATGTAATGAACAACACCAACGAGATAATGAGTTCATGTAGGAAGTTGTTTTTATCTTTTATCCTCACAACAAGCCGTCAAACATCAAATTAAAGGAGATGATTCAGAATCAGAAATACTTCATTAATTCCAGAGGGAAATTCAATCGTTACAGTTGCTCCAAAATATATAATGAAATATAGAAATAAAAATAGGAATCAAATAGAATAGGAATATCAGTATCAGAAATATCAATAATAGGTACAAGAAATATTTACAGGAATAAGAGTCAGATGGAATATAAATACACATTTTCAAGATTATTGCACTGTTTGTTTCAATATTGCACTTTGTTATCATGGACATATTATTCATTATTATTATATTCAGTTTTAATAAATAAATAATGAGTTATGGTGGAGGTAACAGTTTTTCAGTTATTTTATTTATTATTATTATTATTTATTTTATTTATTTCAATTATTATTAATTAATTAATTTATTTATTTTATTTTATTTTATTTTATTTTATTTATTTATTTTATTTAAAAAAAAATTCAGGCTGAAATAGTTCAGGGTCAGACGGAGTGTTGGGCATTATTATTTCAAAAAGAAAAAGGACGATATTGACCGTCGTTTTAGTTACTTCTGCCTTTCACTAACCTGGACTCAAACTGTGGGGCACGCCCCCTAGAGGTGGACGGAGTCATAACAAGACTGCACAAAAACAAATCACACACGTCTGCATCCAGCACGACCCAAAACTGAGACAGGACTGTCAGGTAAATTATGAACCTACAACTTCATTTAAAAGCTCGATGAGTACGTCATGAACGGGTCTGGAGGAAGTCGTGTGTGGCTGATATAAACGACAGAGAAAGACTAAAGTCCACACACCAGAAGCTGCTCCAATTAACATTTAATAAGAACGATCATCACATGGAACCACTCAGGCCCTCGCCACACACTTTCCCTGCCTTTGGATATGTTTTTTTGTCCAGCATCCAGTATTCAATTTTTGTGAGTGTGTGCTGTTTGATATTTTTGTGTGGCTACAATAACCGGTCAGAGACACAGAAGCACAGTAATAAGTGGACGGTCTTAAAGGCGACCGGCAGAGAGAAGAAACCGGCGTTGAACAACTGTAATGAATCTGACCGTTACAGTCTGACCTCCAGCTCTCACTGAAGATTACACATCCCATGTTGTCCACGTCTCTCCCGACATTTTTTCACACAGTCGTTTTTTTAAAGTGTTTTTTTCCTCTCTGCACAAAGCATTAAAATCACATATTGACCCTCCGGATCCATCGTTTACACGAGGTCATGTGAGGTGGTGCGTTTCTCCGCCAGGCACGATGAACTTTAATAAAATCCTGCAGTCTGTGATGAGTCATTATTGTCATTTCTCGTAGTGTGAGCATGAATGAGAATCCCAGCACATCATCTTCTGTATAATCTCATCATGCTCACACTGCAAGATATAACAATGATTTTTAAAAGTCCTGCAGTCTGAGCTCCTTTAAAAGCATCATATGTGTTTCCCTGCAGCCAATTTATTTTTATTGGTTTTTTTTGTTTTAATCAATGCTTTGTGAAAGAGGGGCAGATATTATAAGATTAGTCTTCATTTAAAATTTGAGATTTTCTGTTTGTATGTTTTTCTTAACTTTATTGTTTGTTTGAATGAAATAAAATTTACAAATAATTAAAAAAAAATATATATATATATATATATATATATATATATATATAAAAATTAAATTAAAAAAATAAATAAATACAATTAAAAATTAGATAAATTAAAATTAAAATTAAAATATTTTTTCTGGTATTTTATTTTGTATTTATTTGTAATTTGGAATCAGGTTGAGTCATTTCTGTGTTGCTTTTAATTAAGCATCATTTTGTTTCATGTTTAAAACACTACATGCTGCACCAACTATCACAAGTTGTTCTAAAGATGGAACAAACTGGAACCTGGCCACTCTGTCAAACTCAATCAGAGAAACCTAGAAATATTCATCGGTTGCTTTTTCTCCTGTTGAACTGAAACCGTACAGAATCATGACCCAATAAACTGAGGTACAAACTGAGCCGTGACACCCCCTCGTACTCCGTGTTCTGGTGGGATGAAGAAGACAACAGAGTTTTTGTTTGGTTTTTGTTTTGAATAAATTCTTTCAGTCGGCTGTCGCAGCATCAGAACATCGTTGTTGACAAGGTGATAGTTAAGCTTGACCCTGGCCGTCTCACACACACACACACACACACACACACACACACACACACACACACACACACACACACACACACACACACACACACACACACACACACACACACACACACACACACACACACACACACACACACACACACACACACACACACACACACACACACACACACACACCTCTTCCATGTTGCTCTATGACGGGAAGATCAGCTAACAGGATTTAGCGCCTCATGCTCACGTTTGAATCCCTACTCCTCGTCTGGGACGCAGAAGTCAAAGCCGTTTTCTGGGCACGGGGTCAGAAGCAGCGGGTGTGTAATTACATCCAAACAAACGTACTAAAGCTAAAGACGGGGGAGAGACAAATGGATTGGGAAACCTTTCTGTTGAACTTTCTTGAAGACATATTGGTCCGCCCTGCATTCATCAGCGAGTCAGGGGAACGGGCGGCTTTCAGAGCTTGCATTCTCTCCACTTATTCGCAGAGACAATTTTCTTTTGTTTGCTGTTCCCTGGCAGTAGAACAAGTCCTCGCTGCTGGCCTCAGTGGTCAGCAGTGCATTAATCACATGAGGTGGGGGGGGGGGGGGGGGCTGCGACAAAAAGGCCAGGAACCTAATGAGTTCAGCCGGTAAAAAAAACCAGCAAAGGAGTCAATGTTGGACTCGACGGAGCGCTGAAGCGATTCACTTTCTGCCGGCCGATCCAAAACCTTTTTTTCCTCTTTTCTGCTAAATAAATCGGCTGCAGGGAGAATTAGGCGGATCAGGTAAGGGGATAATCAGGAGCGCTAATAATACTCTGGAGGCTAATCCTCTTGCCTTAAGTGCACTGGGCCAGAGACCAGCTTCTTCTCACCACATGCATGACTTTGAGTGAGAAGCTGTCACATCAAGTCCCCGACATGCTGCTTCTTCAGCTTTGGGATATTTTGATGTTTCATCTGTTATCCTCTCTGTATTAAAAACCTCTCTGTACATGCAGCGGGGTCAAGCGTGCTTCCACCGCTCACATCCACATGGTTGTTGACTTTTTGCAGCAGGTGTTCAGCTCTCAGACATTTCACATCACGTCACGTCTCTATGACCAGCGAGTGACCTTCACCTGTTGCATCATGAGGAAGGTGTGAGGAGGTGATAACATTTATTCACAGAGCGACGGTTTGTGTGCTCCCTCT